TCGCAGTCCGAAGAGTGAGAATGCCAAGACTTCCGCGGAGCCGTATACCGCAATTTAGCTACCTCTTGTATTATATCGCATTATCGCTATTTTAATAGTATAGCGCTAGTATAGGTATTGTTTATAATAACTAAGAAGTCGAAAAAAGTGCCGCCGATTTCTAAAGAAGCCTAAAAGGCGTAATAGTAATAGTACTAAAATACCTATAGATACTATCTCTAAAGCGACCTAGCTCTTTAGAGGCAATTTTACTATAAAAGATATCTATAATAAAATTAGAATCGCTATTTCGACGTTATATCGGTAGCGTATAAATACTATAGACCTATTTAACGAGTATTATTATCTAATTCGAGATAGGGCGGATATACCGAGGGCTCTAAAGCCTAAAATACAAAAAGCAAGCGATTAGGATAGATTTTAAACCTAAGTATACTAACTATTATAGTAGTTAGAAGAATACCTAGAAGACTAACTAGAAGCGTATCTAGAAGAGATATATCTCGGGTTGTTTAACTAGTTTAGTATCTAAGTCTATCCCTTAACGGTCTACTATACCCTTACTAGCGTTATAGGTATAAGGGTTAGTAGCTAAGTAGTAAGAATGTATACGAAACTTTAAACTAAACTAAAGGGAGTGCTAAATTAATATAGCTACTATTTATATAAGACGAACTATAAAGAAAGGAAGAAGGGTACCTTAGAGAGAGAGCCCCTTCCTTAGTATTCTGCCCTACGGCCGTCTAGCGCGTCCGACGCGCGAGCGTAAGTACGTATATCCTACTTGCTAGCTTCTTAGCAAACCTCTACCTTTAGGTCCTTCCTTACGCGCTAAGCGCGCGCGCGCGTATCCCGCTTGTCCGCTATCTCGTAGCGCCTTTGTCTCCTAGCTAACTTGCGTAGCGCGCGTATACGAACTCGTTTAACCGCTTTTAAGTAAATATGTTTCTCCTAGCTCTTTCCTACCTTCCGGTTCCTTCCTACTACTCGGATCTGTTCTACGACTCTATATATCTCGCTTGCTATCGTCCGTATATACGTACGCGTAGTTTAGTATAGTCCTATCGTTCGTATATTAATATATAACGTATTGTTCTGCTATATACGGCCTCCGCGGGAGTCCCTAAGATATTACGTTATACGGCTAAATAGGCGGCTAACTAGGCGACCTAGGCGACTTAGGCGACCTAGGCGACCTAGGCTAACTAGGCGACCTGCTTCGCTAGGGGCCCCTACTACTAAGGCAACTCAAATCCGATATTACTTTATAGTATAGCGGCTAGCTTATAGGACTTGTCGGTGCTTTCTAGGTAGCTACTATAATAGTAGCCCCTCCCTCGTTCTACGCAGAGTTCCTACGATACTTAGACCCCGTAGTAGTTCGGTTTGCGAACTATAGAACGTATATAGTTTAGTTTCTTAGCGGTACCCCTCCGGTTTGGTTCCGGTTTGGTTTTTTACCCCGCTAGTCTAAGCCGGTTTCCGAGGAAATCCGACTAAACTGCGACGACATGCGACGATATACGACGACCTCGGATCGGGTCCGGGGGCCCTATATTGCATACGCTACACGGTTGCATCTATGTTTTAGGCTGTTTAGACGTGTTCCGGCGTGTTTTAGGTCGGGTTTTTGTCTGTAGCCGGCACGTAGCCGGCAAACCGGTCCGTATACCGGTTTCTTAGCAAACTAAACTAAACTAAACTAGAATTTCGGCTTAGCAAACCAAACCAAACCAACCCGGACTACTGCGGGGTCTAACGACACTAAAGGAGGTCCGTATATAATAGGTACTAGTATTCTTATCCTAGTTCGGGTCGAAGACCTTAATCTAAATTCTATTCGTACGCTTCTCGGAGAAAATGTTCCGGAATAGCTCCTTCTATTATCGTATAGTCGGTGTAGTCTCGTAGGAATTCCTCGATTGCTTCGTAGGCGAAGATAGTATAGCGTAGAGGTTCCTAGGTCGTATCCTCGTCTAAGTACCCCTCCTATTATACCTCTCCCTACGGCCCGGGAGGGTTAGGATTTCCGAAATTTGTATTACTAAAGCTCTATCCGATAATCGCCCGTACTATACCTAAGGCAGATTCTAGCTCGTCTTCGGCCTAATCGGTAGCCTCGGTAGCTTCCGGTATCGGCGGAATGTCTTTAGGGTCTACGATTTCTCCGGCGGTTCTTAGGTTAATAACGTATTTAACCGGGTAAATGTTAAGATTTTCTAGGAGATCTAGTTCGTATACGTATATACCGACTTTCTTTATAATTCGGAAGGGTCCTAGATTTTTCTAGTCGAGCTTTTTCGAAGGTCGGTTAGTTCTAATATATCGTAAGTCGAGGTAGACGTAATCTCCGACCTAGTAATCTAGCGCGGCGCGTCTATGCTAATTAGCGTAGTACTCGTATACTTCTTAGGTATACCTTATCTTATCCTAGAGCTCTTAGTAGGTCTAGGCTATTTAAAGAGCGAAGGTATCGGCGTCTCTTTCCGGATCGTTTACTAGGGGCTCTAGTTCGATCTCTATTAGTTCTATACCGGTTCGGGGGTAAAATCTAGTAGAGGCGTAGAACGGCGTAGTCTAAGTTATAGCCGACTCCTAATTGTTAATAGCAAATTTAATAGAAGGCGTTAATCTTAGCTAGTCGTTTTAGTAGTAATTATAGAAGCACCTAATAATTTGCTCGATCTGCGCGTTAGCCCGTTCGGTTTACCCGTCGGTCTGCGGGTAGTAAGCCGTTAAAAGGCGCGCTTAAATTTTTAATCGTTCGTAGAGGCGCTTCTAGAAACGGGCAACGAAATTCGGGCCGCGATTAGATATAATTAATTTAGGTAGGCCTATATCTTTCTATACGTCCCGGTAGAAGACCTAAGCCGTATTCTTTACGGTTAAGCTACGGGTATTTAATACCTTCTTACGTTTCGTAAGGCGGCAAACTACGACTAGTATATTTTAAAACTAGAGGCCGTTAAAGTCGGATCCTTTCGGTAGGCCTATAATAAAATCTATTAAAATATATTACTATAGTCGTAGAGGGACTTTAAGAGGTTTTAGCAGCCCTTACGGCTTACGCGTATCTACTTTCGCTCTATAGTATACTACGTAGTTTTTAACGAATCGGTCGATATCTCGGTATAGATTAGGCTAGTAGTACTACTTCCGGAGCTAAGACAATATCTTAGCTCGACCGGGATATACTATTCCGAGAGGGTTATAAGCGGAACGTATAATCTAGTCGCGTAAATCTTCGAAATCCGGGACGTAGAGGGCATTTCTAAATGTTATACGGGGTGCTCGCGGTAGAGTTCTATAGAGCTCGTACTCCGAGAGAGAAACATTCTCGTATAACCGCTCCTCGTTCTATAAAGCTTAAATTAGACCTTTAGTAAAAGCGTCTTCGGCGTATACTATCGTAAGCTACTATTCGAGCTAGGTAGGTTCGAGGAGGTCCTATACTTCCTCTTCGCTTTCCTAGTCGCTATCTAAGCTTTCTAAACTCGTATCTTCGTTATCCGAGCTATCGTTATCTCCGAGAAAGGCGGGAGCGGCTATTAGTATAAAGGATACTATAAGAGGCTCTAGGCCGGTAAAGTCGTCTCCGAGGAGCTCGTATAGTTCCTAGCTAAGGTTGTACTCCTTAAGGATAGACTATTCTTTACGCTACGGACCTCGATCTAAAGGCGAGTCTCTATTACGCCTTATAAGTACGTCGGCCTATAAGTTTGCTTTGCCGGGCGTATACTAAATAACGAAGTTAAACTAGGAAAGAAACTTACTCTAGCGTACCTACCTACGGCTAAGGATTTTACTCTTAAGAAAGTAGATAAGGTTCTTATAATCCGAGCTAACCTAGATCGGTAACTTAGAACCTTCGAGTTCTAGACGCTATTCTTCGAAAG